GGGTGGGGGGTGGGGAGCCCTGGAGACAAGCGCAGGACAGCACCCGCCCAGCCCTCCAGCCCCACCTCTGCCCTGCTGTCCCGCCCGGGCAGGGCCGCCCTCTCTTCCCTCCCCGTCTGCAGAGCCTGCTCCACGGGAGTGAGAAAAGGGCTGTTGCAGTGACCAGCCCCTCCCTGGGCAGCCCAGGATGAGAACCAGGGCACCATGGGGGCTCCAGGAGGGCTCTAGGTGAGATGCCCCAGGCCCCCGCCAGGGTGTGCTCTGGGGGCAGCCCCAGACCCTACCTGAGATGGGGTCGCTGAGGCCCGAGGGTGGCCTCTCCCGTGGAGGCCCAGGCTGGCCTCCAGCCACACCACTGTGAACCTGCCTGGTGCCCCCAGCTCCACCTGCATGGCCAGGGTCCTCTGGCTCCACTTCCCTGAGGGGCTGTCTGTCCCTGGCCAGCCACCTGCTGTGGTGTACCTTGGCCACTGCCACACAGCCCGCCCCCACCAGTCCCTGCACTTAGACTACCCTGTCTCAGTGGAGGTGGCAGGTACTTCTAGGCCTGCCTGCTCATCTGGAACCCACAGACCTGGGATCAGAAAGGCTGGTGGTCCCGGGGCCTGGCGGATATGGGAGCTAGGGCCCACTCGGCCACAGCGTGGTGGGCTGGCCAGCAGCTCGAGGAGTATGCTGGGCACACGTGATGGAGAAGGGGTGGAGGGTGGAGGGTGGCCACTCCCGTGGGGATGCTCTCTCCTCTGCTGTCTGGTGGGCGTGGGTGCCCTCTAGCTAGAGAACAGAGCAGGGTTCTGGGTGCTGCAGCGACCCTGGCCTATGTTGCTGTGGCCTTGGGCTGGTCATGGCTGGGCAGGGGGTCACCTGGGGCAGTAGAACCACCCCGGGGAGCACCTCTTGCGCCTACAGACCTCCTGCGTGTCCCTGTCCCACGTGTGCAATCCTGGCTCATGCTTGCCACCTGCCAGGGGTTCCTGTGCCCTGGCAGTGGCAGCCCACTGCTGGCTACAGCACCCCGAGTCCCGGAGGGGCAGCCTGGGGTCTCCGCACAGTGCTCGTGGGGCCCTAGGTCACAGGGGCTGCCTGTTTTGAGAACGTCTTGTCCCCAGGACCCCAAGGGACACACTATAGCAAAGCCAGAGCGAGGCAGGCTGTGACACAGGCACTTCCAGAGGCCTCTGCACCAACAGGACACACCTGAAAGCCAGGGAAGGCTGGGCCCTGCAGGCCTTCCCCAAGGTCGGTAGCAGGATTGTCCTGCCTGGTCCTGCCCAGAGGCAGGGTGCACACAGGGTCAGGACAGCCAGGCCCTCTGGAAGTTTCCTGGAGAGAGAACAGAGCAGGTCCAGAGGCAGGGACCGGGGTTTTCTGCAGGACTCAGGTCCGCGAAGTGCACAGGACAGGACCCGGCTGGGCTGAAGCCCACCCAGTTTCGAACCCCAGGGGCTGACACTCGCTGAGAGATGCTGCTGGGAGAGAAAAGGACACAGGCATGCCAGGCCAGTCTTGCCCCTGAGGTCTGGCCACAGGAGTCCTGCTGGGGAACGCTGGCCTGCGCCCCAGAAGCAGCGCAGCCCGTGGCCGGACTTGGCTAGGTTCAGGCAGAGCATGGCTTTGTGCAGAGCCTCCCTGGCCACGGTGCCCCCTGCTGGCCGCGCACCTCAGCAGCTCCTGGGGCCCCAAGCCTCGCGCAGGGACACACCAGGCAGGTTACTGTCCTCCCTCCTGAGCGCTTGAGGCTCCCAACCCCGTGGGCCTGCCCGGGCGCCGCAGGGGCTCCGGCTGGGGTTCTGCTCCAGAACAGCGACTCTCTTGCCCAGTCGACTGCCGGCCCCTTGGGGAAACTGCGAGCGCCACCTGGATCCCCATCCAGTCTCCGGCAGTCCTCGCGGTGGCGAGCACTGGGAGACAGTGCCACCTGGTGGTCCCCACAGCCGGCTGTGAGGTCTCAGAAGCCCCTGGCACTGCCCCACGTGCTCCATGCTTTAGCGCCCCAGGTCCATTCAGGGACACCCCCCTCTGGCCGCGCCCTCTCCCCTCCCCACTCCCCAGCCCACGGAGCACACGGAGAGGGGGTCAGCTCCCTGCCAGCTGGTGCAGACTTCCAGATGACTCTAGACTGGACAAGCACAGTCCCACACCCGTGTGGCACCAAGGCCACTCTGTCCTCCCTCCAGGCATTCTGGGAGACCTGGCCCAGGGCTGGAGAATCCCCACCAGCCACAGCGATGGGGAGATCTAGGCCAGCTGGGGTGACCGCAGAGCCCTGCCACTGCGGGGACTCCATCTGGTGCCCAAGAGGGAGGTGCATGCCCACACACACGCATGCACTCTGTCAAACTGCAGGTCCGGGACTTGAACTGTGCAGTTGGCCACACTGTGGGCTGGCCCCTTCTGTCACGCTACCATCTGACTTCACGGCTCTCTTCCACCACGACCCGCTGGCACAGCCCTCCCAAGCTCTTCGTGTGGCTCCATTTCTCATAACAGAGTGAGGGCTAACCCTGGATTTTGTCAGAAGCACAGCTCGGGAACATACGTGCTTTGCTGTTTGCAGGCTGGGCGGTGGCAGTCCCTGATGCCAGGACAGTGTGGGGCCGTGCCTGGGCCGGGCAGGAGGAAACACCCACCCAGGGAACACCCGCATGGAGGGAGCCGGAGTGGTGGGCGGGCCAGAGCGGGGGACCAAGAGCAGGCAGTCCAGTGGGCTTGGGAGCCTGGAGCGGCTGCAGCTGCCCAGCTCAGCCCCAGCCCTTTTCCGAGTCGCACTCCTAGGTGAGGGGCAAGCCCTGGGGTTGGTGATGGCTTCGTCTCCAGCTCGCCTGGTGACAGTGACGACTTCTTCCCAGCCTGAGGGCTCTGGTCCTCTTCTTAAGTCTCTTGACGACACAGGGTGAGACCCACAGGGGGTCCCCAAGGCCCACCCAACCATGGGGTATACATGCCTGAGGTGCCCACTGCGGAGGCAGCAGGGGGGCCCTGGGGCCACACTCAAGCCAGCAGAGCACACCCCGCCCGAGGCCCAGTCTGAGTGGGGCGAGTCCAGCAGCCTGTCCCTGACCACCTCACAGCCTGTTTTATTATAAAGAAAGTATCAAAATATACACATTTGTCTAACAACCAGGAAGCGCAGCTAGGCACGGCCTACAAGCATCACCCACTTCCACGGAGGCCGAGACCACCTGGAACCACGGAGGGCCACGCAGCGTCTCTGAATAACTTAGGGTGGGTGCGGTGTCGTGCTCGATGCCTGTTACAAGTCCTCATGGTTAGGCAGCTGTGCTGGGCTTTCTTCTGTGACTCCTGTCAGGACACACACAGATCAGCCGTGGCCTCGAGGGTAAGGCCCACCGGGACACGGCACTCGGGCAGAGGTGCGTGTCCTCACGGCCGTCACCAAACCTGTGGCCTGGCTCCCGACAGGCACAGCAGCCCTTCCTAGGGCAGCTCAGGGTGAGACCCTGGTGCTCCAACATCCCACAGCCGGGGGTACCCAGGCAGGTGAGCCGTGGCGGCAGCGTTTCAGAGTCTCTGCACTGTGGCAGGGTGCTCCAGCAACGGCCTGAGTGCTGGCGGGGTGAGCCGGCCTCATCAGAAACACTGGTGGCAAGGGCCCCGGCTCACGGCAGAGGCACGGGATGAGAGAGGACTGGAGCACGCAGCAGTCAGAGCCCAGCCCCGAGTCTGGCCGCCGAGTGCCGGCTCGCCT